GAGTTGTTTTGCCTTCAGTATGAAGGAGTTGGGTACTTTGATAAGACCCGGCATACGGATGGAGTTGGCTAGTGATACGCCAATCTTCCGTCGTCCCTATCGATATAGTGATATGGAAAGGGACTTGATTAAGAATCGGACGTTGGAGTTATTGGAGGCTGGGTTAGTGGAGTTGTCGCATGGTGAGTATGCTTCAGCCACTGTTATGCCAGCGAAGAAGGATGTACATGGCAACTACACTGATAGGCGGATGTGTGGAGATTACCGTCCTATCAATCGGCAGACGAAGGCCGATAAGTATGCCATGCCTACACCTGAGGAGATCTTCGATGTGGTGGGACATGCGAAGATTTTTAATACTTTGGATCTTCGGGCGGGATACCACCAGTTGCCGATTCGAAAGGAGGACAAGGCCAAGACAGCGTTTTGGGATGTCAACTCTCACGGCAAGGATTGTTTGTATCAGTGGCGATTCTTACCCTTTGGGTTGAAGAATGCACCTGCCGAGTTCCAGAGAGTGATGGACAGGATTCTAGCGGGGCTAGAGTTCGTCAGATGTTACATTGATGATATCTTGGTGTTTAGTGACACGGTAGAGCAACACCAGATACATTTGCAGATTGTGCTTGAGCGTTTGAGGGCTCATGGTTTGCGGTTACATCCTGGGAAATGTAGGTTCTTCCAGGAGAAGGTGGAGTACTTGGGTCATGTGATCTACCCAGGTGGTTTGGGAGTTCAGCAGGCAAAGGTGGAGGCTATTGCACGCATTCCTCGTTCAACGGATGTGAGTAGAGTTCGTGCATTCATGGGTTTGGCGAACTATTACCGGAGATATGTGAAGGGATTCAATGCTATAGCGAAGCCTTTGAACCAGTTGCTGAAGTCGGATCAGGAGTGGCAATGGGAAGATGAGCAGGAGAGAGCTTTTTTTGAGCTCAAGGCCAGGTTGGTGGCCGCTCCCATCTTGAGGAGACCTATCAGAGCTCGACCATACCAGTTGCACACTGATTGGAGTATGTTGGGACTTGGAGCGGTGTTGACGCAGTGTGATGATGAGGGCAAGGAGTTTGTGATTGCGTACGCTAGTCGTTCGAACAATGCAGCAGAGTCGCGATATAGTTCGTACGAGGGAGAGTGTTTGGCAGCGGTGTGGGTTGTGGCACACTTCAGGTGTTACTTGTTTGGTACGCAATTTACCCTTGTTACCGATCATCAACCGCTCAAGTGGTTAATGGAGTCTGACAAGCTCACAGGGAAGCTTGCACGGTGGGCTCTCATCTTACAGGAGTACGACTTTCAGGTGGTGCATAGGCCTGGAGTTGCGAACCTGGATGCCGACGGTTTGAGTCGGAACCCATGCACTAGCCAGGAGGATGACACTGGAGCTAGGTGGCATGGTGAGGTTGATGAGGAGATGGTGCCCGGTTGGCATGCATCGGCCTTCATGTGTTGGTTTTGTGGAGCCTCTAGCAGTGAGGACCACTTGACATCTTACTCTAGTCAGAGAGTAGATAGTCAGTCTTCGGATCCTGAGGTTGAGGATGGTGGTGTGGACCAGCGTGATGTTCACGATGATGCGTTGGTGTTGGAATTCCTACGGACCAGTATGGTGCCAGGCACAGTGGGTGCCAAGGAGCGAGATCGTGTTCTCCAGAGGGCGAAGAGATACTGATTGGAGGGAGCACATGTTCTCCGAGTGTGGGAGGACGGTAGGGTACGGGTAGTACCGCATCCAACTAAGAGAGCACGCATTGTGAGGCATGCTCATGAGGAGTTGGGACATTTTGGAGTGAAGCGTACGTACAGCTTACTCCTAGGTCAGTATTGGTGGCGTGGTATGCATACGCAGGTGCAGTAGTTGGTATCACGTTGCATGGTTTGTGATCGAGTGAGGGCATCGTTCAATGCCCCTACACCAGAGTTACATCCCTTACCTATCATGGGATTGGGTTACCGTTGGAGTTTGGACTTTACTGGAGCACTACCTTTGACTACACGACATCATCGGTATGTGTTGGTGATGGTGGAGCATTTCTCCAAGTGGATTGAGTTGGTGGCATTACCTGACAAGGCGAGTGAGGGAGTAGCATATGCTTTCCTTGACAGGGTGCTTAGTCACTTTGGTGCACCAGCTTAGGTGTTGACCGATCAAGGGATAGAGTTTCAGGGTGAGTTTCAGGTCTTGTGTGACAAGACGCTGATTGATCACCGGACTACTTCCCGAGATCATCCAGAGGCGGATGGTTTGGCTGAGAGGATGGTACAGACGGTGAAGATAGCGTTGCGCAAGTATGGCCTACAGAAGGGGCATTTTGGGGACTGGGATATTCAGTTACCATGGTTGGCCATGGGATATTGATTGAGTCGTCAAGCATCCTTGGCTTCGTTTTCACCATATTTTCTATTAAACGGCCGAGATCCAGACTTGCCTACAGCGATTCGTCGTGAGTCTAGCGAGGTGGTGAACCTTGATGATCCAGATATGTGGGTGAGAGTGTGTTCTCAACGTGCAATGCTCTTTCGGAGAGTTATGCCTGCAGCGTTTGAGAACCTTGCGATTGCTCAGCACCGGGATACGTTGCGGTATGCAACTATTCGAGGAGGAGGTTATCGACCATCGATTCGTAGGTTCCGCGTGGGAGACTACGTCTATCTACAGCAGACTGCACCGACTACGTTGGATGTGACGGCAGGACGCACTATCCTGCGAGTGCGAGAGGTGTTACCTTCTGGAGTTCTCATGTTGGAGGGTCGTGACGGTGTCGTTTGGAAGGATCATGTGCGCAACTGTGCGCCATGCCACCTCCCAAACGTGGATGGTACTATGGACCCAAGCTTGGCGATTGTACGTGCCGGCTTGAGGTGCATGTTATGTGGGTCAACTGATCAGGCGGCCCATATGTTGGTGTGTGATAGGTGTTCTAGGGGATGGCACATGTCGTGCTTGACTCCACCTATCGATGTTGTTCCTACTGGACGGTGGGTTTGTCCTCGATGTACTTCAGAGAGTAGATGACTTGATCTTCACATGTTATGAATTGCAGATAGGCGACTAACGATGGGGCGACATAGCACCCGGCCTACTGGTTCGCGCACCCACGAAGGTGCATAGCATGTAGTTGTAGATAGGGCTACCTGGGAGTCAGAGGGACCTGACCGCCAGCTAGGGGGGCGAGTTGTGATACCTTTGTGTGTTGACACTCTCGTTCCTTGTGTATGTATGTGTGAGTTGTGAGTAGAGCATGTCAGCGATGTATGATGTATGGCGATACTGAGTCGCACGACACTCTACCTAAAGAGAGCAATTGATATTCAGGACGAAGCTGAGTGGATGTTGATAACGGAGATTTGTAGATATCTTTGTCTAAATATGAATTTGGTTTTTTACTTTTTATTCAATTCTAGAGACAATATTCATGCCAGAGTTTGCAATATCGTTTTGTTCTATGGAAAGAGTCAAACGTTGTGATACTTCCAAACAATTTTTGATTGTTGCTTAAATGTTTCAAAACTCATTAGTTAGTAAAGTCACTACTAGAATTGAAAGATGATTTAACATACGATTTAATTATTATTTTGATCTAGAAGTAACAGCAGAAACTTTTCACACGACAAGTAGTGCTTGAAACTGATCATTTTTGGCATTTCATTAGAAGAATTGTAGATCCAAACAAATCCTCGCTTTATATTCAAGGTTCCACGTCACGCCACATTGTTTTACAAATTTGCAGCTTCTACTAGGAGAATTGTAGATCCGGCCCGATTCTTGCTTTATCTTCAAAGTTCCACATTACGCCAAATTGTTCTCCAAATTTGTAGGAAGGTGCATCTTTCAAATAGATAGTTGTGAGCTAATGATAGGCTTGTGGTTATTAACTATGATATTCCGGGTTTTGATCATGTTTTTGTTGGACTCTATCCCTGGATCTTCATTCCGGCACTATCTCGCAACACTTTCTAGTCCACTCCGTTACCTTTCTATCTTACTCTTGTTTGTGAGGTTGATCTTTTTGGTGCTAGGGTACATAAGCCCCATCTTCGTGGCTATTCAATGTTTGGTATTCCAAGTTATTTCCCGGTTTGGGCTTGTTGGATTTTTGGACTTGTGAAGTTGATGGCTGCCGGTTTTTGTAGTTCTTCTTCTAGGCTAGGGGTTAGCTTCTGCACAGGGCGGCGTATGGTGCTCTTTGGTCAGTTGTCTTTTGCTCTTGCTTGTTCGATACTGCTTTGCTTGCCTGGCGATGGCTTCCATCTGGTTTTGTATTTGCTCTGGAGGTTTTCACCAAGAAAGGCCTATGAGTAACAACAGCAAGAAGGCTCGAGAATGATTGATTACGCATACACACGCAACGATATTCTTCATTGTACCTGTACACAAATTCGTTAACACAAATTATATTTTTAAAAATCATATTCGAAAAGAATTAAAGAGAAAAAAAAAGACTTGGCAAATTGATAAGTTTCATTTTTTGGAATTACCATAGAAACAGTAAGAGGATCTGCGGGTGTTTCATTTATTTTGTTCGTATTCTTGGAGTGCACGAATCTAAAGTAATTGTGAATTATGTTTGACAAATGCTGCAGAAGCCATAACTGACTGTCCTATATAGAACAGACCCCATACAGAGTTGTTGAGCCCGGCTTAGATATATACACCAGATCAAGAGAAAATCGGAGCCGTTTAATCTAGGGCCGTTTGATCCAGCGTCTTGTACAAAGGAGGCACATCCTACGCCTCGCTGATGTGGGTACGGGAGCGCTGATGAAACTGCTCTGCTAGCTGGAACCTGCCGAGCCGGTCACAGGCGCCAGGGCGAGGGGCCGAGAAACCATCGGCGCCCAGCTCGGGCGTCCGGAGCTCGACCGTCCGAGTCAGCGGTGGAAGGAAGAGCGGGCTCCTGCGTGCGGGAGGGAGACCGGCACGTGCCCGGGCCCGGAGCACCACGGCGCTGCAGGCATGACAGTGATGGCACGAAGGTGATGAGATCGGAACCACAGCGCTCGGCAATTGCGCAGTGTGGACAAGAACGATCGAGTGCCACGCGCGGACTCTTTGGGGGAGGAAGACGAACGCGAGCGAGGTGAGGTTCTGGAGCCGATTGCCAATTGCGCTGGTTCCGTTCGGATTTCGGTTGGAGCAAAAAGTGAAAGCCCGAGCGGACGGTTGAATCGAGGTCGCTCGCTCGTTCGCTCGCGCATCCGTCGTTCATTGGGGTGCGTCTCGAGAGTCGATTTCTTTGCCGAGGCGGGGCGACTCCGGGCCGGGCGTCCTAGTTGTTGCTTGGGTTTGGGCGCAATCCGACAGAGATCTTGGGCGTAGATTCTGATAGCCCGAGGGAGGAGGAAAGAAGAAAGAGGAAGGAAGGAGGGAAGATTTGACGGGAGTTTGTGGAAGGATGGGGGACTACGGTGGAGCCTGGAGAGGAGCAGACACGAGGCGTGTGCCCTCGCCGGCTGCGAAGCGCACCCGTCGGGACTATGGTGATTACGGTAAGTGGCAGTTCCCGTGGATTGGGTTCCAGGCCTTTTTTTTCCCCTGCCGATAGGAGTGAGTTTGGTTTGCACGTTCGGCCTCGATTGCCTTTAGGGCCATCGAAGGCGCGCTGCAGAGCCTTGCGCGGTCGGTTTGTTGATTTGGCTCGTGGTGACAGTTGCGTCTTGAACGTTGAGGGGCCCGTCGTGAGCCGGGAGTTTGGGGATCGTACCGGTAAATGTGCGTTTGGAGGTCCGGACTGCCTGGAGGAGTCGTCACATTTCTTCCAACATCGGTTTTGTTACCCCGACGGTGACTGTATCGCTGTTTAGAAGCGCCTGTTCCACCTGGGATTCTCCGGATCTGCTGAAAATCTTGGTCATGAATGTAGATGATGTACCTCCTGCGCGAGGAGCCTATGGGTCTGCAAGAGGTGGTGCTGGAGTCGTTCCAGCAGTTGGACATGACGTCGGTGGGTATACCCCCAGAGGCGAGCGATACGATGATGGTCGAGGCGCTCCGCGCGGCGGGTGGCGCGAGCCCGACGCTCTCGGAGGAACTACAGATCTTGTAAGTAGGCCACATCCAAATTTCAGTTTTCCCATGGCGTGTAGCGACTCTCAAGATTCAAGCAACTTGAGAAGGCTCTACGCGCTCAACGCCTCATTCCTGCCGGCTTACATATGTTCCTGAGAAGGCATGCGAAGAAACCTAGCTTTGCCTAACTGAGCTACGTGCTCGCGGGCGTTAAGTGGCGTATGCCTAGCAGCAGGAAACATTGCAGTAAAATTTTGGCAGATATGGTAAATCTTACTCATCGGAATCGGAGTAGCCTGTCCTAACACTCACTGAGCTCGTAGTTGGTCCGACGTGGCCAGAGAATGCCGTTTGAACACCTAGTGTCTTCTTTGTAGGCCGTCACAGTCCAGACCAATTAATCTGATCGGCTCCTTCTGGAAGGCTCCTGGGTGTTCTCTTTAGAGACTCTTATAAAAAAAATATCCACATCTCTTTATGCCACAGATATCTCAAAGTGGCTGGCTATTCCATCGCGATAACTCGCGTGTCTGAAGACCAACATTCGGCTGGGGTTTCTTTTAATTTTGTATCTCTGGCTGATTGTTGTCTTCTTTAATTGTCATAAACGTCGGAAGTTTTGTCAAGTCGGAACGGTCTTGCTGCTAACCAATCCAGGGCTAGCGAGAGAACAACATATCAATGGTGTAGGACTCGTTAGGAGTGTACGTAGTTGATTCGTAGGTTCTTGTGGCTGCAAACAGTTAAAGATGCTCTAACGTGTCTAACGAATTATGGTTTTACCTGGACATCTTGAAGTATGGACGTTGCCCCATTTTAAAGAACTAAAGAACATTGGTGTGGACTCTTAAATTTTAGGTGCATTTTTAGTTTTCAATTGTAGCTAATTTCTCACCAATTCGCTAACTTCACGCTTCGAGACAGTCCGACTATTTACATCAAAGTCGCTCTGCAATTTCCTGACAGTGGTCTCCATGTTCCTTGGTTTTGCAGATGGGATATGGAGGAGGTGCAATTGGTAATGATCTAGCTATTACAGGTGGTCCAGGAATGGGATTGAGTGGTGTTCCTGGTGCTGGTTCTTTACAAAATTTGGGTTTAGGCGGTCTCGGAGAAGATCCTGCTCTTCTGGGTCCTGGAGGGCGTATGGTTGGAATAGATGTAGGATTGGGGGGGAGGCAAGGTAATCTTGGTCTGAATGGAGTAACCCAAGAACCCGAGGTTCTTCACGGGGGCCTCGATATGCTACCCCCTGATGCATCTTCAACCCTCTTCGTCGACGGTCTACCTCTCGACTGCTCAAGACGAGAAGCAGCACGTATCCACACTCGCCGTGTGCATTGACATGTGCATCATCGTATCGAGAGAACTTTTAGATGTAGACTTGGCTTGCCTTGATTTCCTTCGTTCTCCTTAATGTGTGCCACCAGACATATTCCGTCCCTTCATCGGTTTTAAGGAAGTTAGGTTGGTACACAAAGACGCGAAGAGAGTGAGTAACTTCTGTGTGATCCTGGAACAACCTTTTGGTTTCTGATATTGAACAACTTTTGATTTTTCTTCGGCCGATAATGTTTTTTCCCGTTGGCCTGTTTGTGCGCATCAGGTCGTCCTTTGCTTTGTGGAGTTTGCCGATGCGCGATGTGCAGCAACTGCGCTAGAAGCTTTGCAAGGTACCGTACAGATGTCCGGATAAACTTGAAATTTGATTCGCTTGGCCTCCTGCTACAGTTTGTCATTTAGAAACTGCAGCTGATGTGCAACATCCCTTGACTTTCAGGGTACAAGTTTGACGAGACAGATCCCGATTCGTACGCCCTTCGCCTTTCGTTCGCTCGCCATCCTGGGCCCCGAGGACCTCCTCCCCGAGATGAGGCTTATCGCGGTGGGGGTGGACGTGGAACTCGGGACAGTTATGACGCTGGTGATCGTCGTCGGGGTGCTCGTCGATAAGGTGTTACGTCAAGGTAACGATGTAGTGTATTTGTAATGCGCGTGTAGGTGCCCCACATGTCCGAGCCTAAGCACTCTGTCGGTCCGTGTTCACCGAGCTCTTGCGAAAACCCACCATCCTAGTCGAAACTTCCTTGACGTTTAGAGCCACGTTCGCTTTCCTTTTCTTGCATACTCCCGGGTCATGAAAGCCCAAAACGGTTCATAATCCTCGCTTATGTACGCATATAAATCCGATCACTTAGGTGGAGGGGTAACGAATCAGGTGGACCGTGGGTTACCCGCGTTTTAGATTCGGATACAAATTTCGTAAATCTCGTGTCAAGCCTTCCTATCGAGTCCCCTTCATTGACCTCGTCTCGTACGTGTCTAGCCTGATGAACGTCGTTCCTTGTCGTGCACCTTGAGTAACCTCGTTTCGTTTCCACTCACGCGTCTGAACGGTTGCCTAACTAAGTATGCATTTTCGATGATCATTGTAGCCTTGTCGCTTATTTACCTGGCTGTGTCCCGACATGGCACAGGCAAGTTACGTGACTGTTGGAACTATTTCGTGCAGTTTCTCGAGCCCTCTCAAAATTTCGTCAAGATCACAGACGGGCAGGAACATCGTGCGCAAGTAATTTTTTTACGTGGACCATTCTGCAGCAGCTCTCGTCGGTGTGAATCGATACGATGATCAATACGATGCGATTGCGCTTACGGGTGTGTCAGCCTGTTCGAGCGAATTTTAGCGCTACGTGCCACTCGCTAGTTGCGGATGCACCTGCTGGCTGGGTTTCACTCAGAGCTCGAGTAAGTGTACGCACAGCTTAGTGTTGCGGGGTTCACGAGGATCCCTTCCTGGTTCAGTATTAGTACGAGACCCTCATCTGATCTGTAGCGTCTCTAGTGTCTTCTCGGGAGCCCTCTCGGTTCAGCGCTGTTCATTTCAAGTATTTCTGTGCTACGTTCAAGAATCGAGATATAGGGATTGTTTAGATAGGCGAAGATTGGGACTTATTTGTGCCTAAAGCCTTGTCAGCATTAGAGAAAACCTTGTGAATCAGTGTAAGAAACTTACGAAGCTGTGCGTTTCCTCCCTTCATCTGTTTATTATCAGGACTGTGTGGTTCTCGATCGTCATGCTTCAGGGTCATAGTGGAATTAACCTTCAGAGGAATGTAGTGTGGTGAAAGGGTACTTTCACTGCGAAGCAATTTAATCCTTTCAAGCTTTGCCAACCACCCTTGTCATAGAGATACCTTTGTCCGGAGTCGTTAACAAGATAGCCTTTTCTCAAAAGAGGAAAGAGCGGTCGAGATATGTTGGTTCGTGCTGTACTTCCTCTAATGCCATGTGCTTTTCGTGTTTGAAGGAAGGTCCTTCTCATATCCAGACTGCCGCTAGCCTTCACGATTTTGTCGCACCTGCCTGGTTGTCATGATGGCCTCACCGATTGGGGTGGTGGTAGTTAATTTCTATCTCGTTTCCTTTTCCACGAAGTGAAGGCTCTTTTAGCAGGGAACACCATGCATCATTCCCTATATCTTACTTGGATATCTTACGATGAGATCTTTACTTCCCAACCCACTTTTATAGCCAAGGGGCCTGATATGGAACACTGAGCTGTTCCGTGTGCTCAGTTGATTGGTAGAGCCGAGTGCAGAGTCAAAGAAAAGAAATGTCACGAAGAACAAGTGGACAAATCTTGATATGGCCCCTTGACGACAGTTACTTGAAGGGCAGTCAGACGCTAGTTGCTGATCTCTGCTTTCCATTCCTGAGGCCTCCCTCCCTTTTCCCAACCCCAGAGTTGAAGGAGTTCGGAATTTCAAGTTGAAGTCAGTTGACTTCACGTGTGTGCTGTGAGCACCTAGTGCCTTGGAATTTCCTTTTCGATATTTTGTCGTGAAACCCGAATTCCTGCGGAGGCTTTGCTCTCGTGTTTTTCCTTGGTTCAGTGTAGGGGAATGGATTAGAGTTCTCAAGTGGATGCAGTATTGCATCATGATCCATCTCCGAACCAGGTGTCCACGCATGTTCCTAGCCTGGAAACATATGCTGGACTGTGCTTCTTTAGCGGCAAACCGAACCCTAGTGAGGTGAGCATACCTGGACTGCCCAGACTCGGATGTGTTTTCTGTCGGCAAGCAGTGAGGGTTGCTATCTTTGTGTCAGGCTTGTCTGCCTTTTTCTTTATTTAGTCTATCAGTCTTATCGACAGCATCCTCATCACTGGGAGTGACTTTCAGTGTGTCAGGAGTGAGATGTCTTTTAGCAGATTACAGTTTGTGCTTGTTCCACTGCGACGAGTTCTCACCCTCGATCTGTTGATTTCTCGTCGACTCCGGTTGTTTGGGTTCGGAACACTTTCGAGCTGTGAGTGTACGTGTGTCTCACATCAGCTTGCCGTATGAAGTGTTGGCACGCGAAAGACATATCCACCGTCCCACGTGATGATGTGAGGTTTTACACAGTTTATTTCTTCTTTCACCATCGAACAGTAGCTTGGTCTTTGTTGCAAAATCTTGGCCGCTTGTGACATTCGTAGTCTGCGCATGGCACGTGAATTTTGTTGAAGGGTCCAGCGAATTAGCTCGTTGAGAAAAGCTTTGATGTCTTGGGTTTCAATACTCGACGTTGAAAGGAAGTCACTGCGTTCTGTTACGGTATCACTCTCTTAAGTATCAATTATCCTAGACACTGCGAAAAGTACAGGGTCATTGATTGGGCTGTGACTGCATACAGATGACTCTTGGCGAAGTGTTGCGTAGGCACCAGCACGCCCTAGTTCACACTGATCGTTTCTAACTTCAAAGCTCTTAGTTTTCGGTTATTGCTATATGATTGGAGATTCGAAACTGGTACTGTAGTGAACACGTGGCTAATGTAATCGATGATGTAAAGAAGCACACGACGTTGCAGGGCCCAACACACCCGCCTCTCGAGTGGAGGGTGTGTTGTGTGGTCAGGTAAGTTCTTGATGAGACTCCTTACCTTGATGGGAGGATTAGCGATATCCCTTGTCCAGGCTTTTTTAATTGCAAATACGCCATGAAATTGACCCGGATGAAAGAGCTTATATGACCATGTGGATCACTTTTGGAATTGTACACCAATCGAGCGGCCTCAGCAGTTTTACAGAGGATATCTCTGGGTGAAATCCAATTTGGGGTCCATGGCCAGTTGACAAGGCTCTTAACGTAGAGGTGAATTTCAAGACGTCAAAGAAATGATGCAATGCGAATGCCAGATTTTAGGAAAACTGGAATCTAATCGGAGTAAGAACTGAGAAAATCCCAAGACGGAATACCTGGAGGCATGGAAAAGGTGGGAAGATCCGCCTCCCAGTCTTCCAGATCATATCCAAGGAAAATAGTTGAGATAATAGAAGATAATTTGGCACGTAGCATGTGCACAAAATTTGAGAAAAGATGATTATCGCGTCGACCAAAGAGAAGTTTAGTGTATTTATCTTTGTGCTCATGGAGACGAGAAAAAGAAGGGGATATAAGGTAGGTAGTAAGAAAAGGGTAATATGTTCTTTTTACATCTGTGTAATGCAATGATCGATTCTACTTCCTCAACTTTTTATACATCTTTTAATCCACACTACACGCACACATACAGCTTGAAGTCCAAGAACTGAATACAGTCTGAACATGGTGGTCTTTAAAAAGCATGGTGGCCATTCCCGCAATCGTGTCTTGACGTCTTGAAGAAAGATTGCTGGATTTCTAAGCTTTGAAAGATATATATACATACATATTTACACATTATATGTCACCATAAACAAAACCCTGGAACATTTGTATAACCGAGGAAAATACTTAGGTTTCCTCGCAAACACATCAACAAAATACATACCCATGACGTATCAAAGGTACTGTGTCACGATATTCTAAACCATGTGCTTGCTTTGCGTCACGATGTTCTAAAACAAGTTCTTGGTTCACATACTGCTTACTATAGTGTGGGAAAATGATTTCCCTATCGGCCTACAGGGGAGATTTCTTGGAACTTTCAACTTGGTTACAAGTTTTGCCAGAACCTACTTGCATCCCCATAGTGGTGTTTCAGAGCTTTCTATTGGACGTTTCAAACTGTAAAGTTAATTTGACACTTCAAAATGCGATCTTGTAGATTTGCATACCGAGATTAGTTGTTGTGTCTTTACAAGTCTTCTACTACACTCACAAAGATTCATTCAAAAACAACTCGTTCATCCTCACACCAAACGCAATGAATGTACCAACAATTCACATGTTTATTTAATCTCATGGATGAGTTTAATGGATCTCATGGATGGAGGGCAGGCAGTGGGGATTAATATTTTACAGACTTCGAGGTTACTGCAACCAAACTGATTGGCGAGAATTATGTGATATGCTCCAGCACTTTTGGAATCGAAGACAGACCAAAAACATGTGGAATGATACAATCTTAGTAGATTCGTGATCATACCCTTGCAATGTAAGTATGAAGACCCAAAAAAAATTGATACTTCGTTTAGAAACTCTCAACAGTGTGATTCTATAATCAAAACCACACTCACCCACATGTTGAATAAGCTTGACATGGCTTTGTGAAATGCACTATATTAGGCAGGTAAATGGATGGTCTTAGACTGTGCAATCCTATTTGTGTCCAGATATCACTTTTTTATTTTATTTTCTCTCATGGTATGCTTCATAAACTAGTGAAAGAATGAATGCTAGATGTAAAAGTGAAATTCAATTACTAAGAGTGTGAATTGAAAGTCTTGTCGAGGTGTGCAAGGAATGATAAAAAATAGTAAGACCCCATCAACTAGTACTCGGAGACCTGGCGCGGACACCTTTTCAAATACACTCTGGGCAAGCATTCTCCAGTTTCAATGTATTTGCTAAAAAAGGAGAGTCATGATGTGTATTGCGCCGGAGATGACAGGTTCTTGTAGAGTCTCAAGATCCCTATGCCAGAAGATCTCTGGCTTCGGTACCTTGAAATTTGTATGATTCTTTTCATTATCTTGTTGTACTAAAGTGAAGTAAACTTACATATCTTATGAACAATGAGTCATCGTGTAACCTTAACATTGATTTTTAAAAATCGTGATCAATAAATAGATGAATATAAAAAAAATATGTACATATAAAAAATAAAATTTATCAAGGTTTAGAAGAATTTATCATACATAATAAATATAATCATGTTTGATATAATAACGATATGTATTTACATCACAAGAGAAGTCATATGCTGATAGTAAACATGATAAAGAAAAAATTTTATTAGAATATGACTAGATTTCAGTATTGTTGTTTAAATCCTTTATTGGATTCATCAGATGAATTCTCTGTGAATATCCGTTCAAATCACAAAAAAAACACAATGAGCATCAACTTTTAGTTTCTCATGAACTAACGAAAGAATCTACTTTCTTCACATATATCATAAATGATATATGTGAAGAAATAAACTAAAAAAGAAACACAAATTATATCTTCTTTGTTTAGAAAAATTTTTGTGTGCTTATTTTGCATTGATCATGAAAAAAAAAATGAGAGCTACAAGTGAAGAAATCAGCACACATATCGTCACAATGTAAGGCATACAATCCGCTTCAAATTGTATCAAATTCATTTTCAAGTACAACATATAAATACATGCAACCAATATCCATCTTTTTGTAGAATAAGAAGAAAAAAAAACCCTCCATTTTATCAAAAAATGTTGAATTGTTTAAAAAAAGACTTCTACCGATCATAACAACAATGATGAAGAAATTTTTTTAAGAAAATTTTCTAATCTAGAAAATGATGAGACAAACAATGAAAATCAATCATTTTGGCAAACTCAATTTAAAATTGGCGAGAATGGATTCTATCACATCAAAATTTAAAAAAACCTTTAATTTAATCATTGCATTGATCATACATTAGTTGACCTTTCATTCTTCTGACAGCTACTGTGATGGTATATCATAAATACACACGAAAAACACAAAATGAGCGGGATTGAATGATCATATAGTTGGCCAATATATATGTATCATTGTTAACACAAACCTTCACATTATTGTCAACATTCAAACATATCTTAAGATCCGTGCTTCCATCTTGGCATGTGATGAAAATGATTATCAAATCAAGTTGTTACTCAAAATAAACTTTTTAATCAATGCTGAAGCCAAGTCGGATAATTGCGTCTTGTTGTGATTCCATATGTTGATTGCCACACTGCAGTTTATACAGCAAATATGATTAGTAAAAACTTGAATTGTTTGTATCAAATTTGATGTAATAAGCTACTCCAATGTCGCTAAGAACATAAATATTGAACATGTTGGATGATATTGTGAATCTTCTTGACAAAAAAGTTAATTATTTGATTCTTTGTATATGATGATTGCACCATTAGACTAATATTGTGACCAAGTCAGATATTAATAATCTACAAGATGATAGAAAGTATTACAAAATAGTGCATGTTTTTTTTTGCATCAATAACCATCCAATGTTATAATCAAAATGAGCTGAATCCAATTTTATTTTGAGAAAATGGAAATCAAATGTGCAAAAGTTACAAAGTCTTGAGATTATTTTAGTATCATGACTAGTTTGATGATTGGAAAATGTTTTCATGTGTATATTCATATACAAAAAAAATGAGTGAAAATGAAAAATGAAAATGAAAATATTGAGTTATTTTTCATATGAAAAATTAGATTTTTGCAAAATCAAAGAATTATTTTCTTGATTAAGGTTTTTAATTTCAATTGTGTGCACATATTATGCTATTATATAAGAATTTATAATAAACTTGACTACAATTTAATTAAAAATAAAAATTGAAGATTTTAATTAAAGATTAAAATCATAACACACAAAATTTTACTACAAATGAAAGTGGTTTCATTTTAATTTTGAAAATTGAAAAAAACGTTTTTTGTTTAAAATTTTGAACAAAATTCTGCAAAAAATTATAAGATATTATTGAATTCAAATTGAAATGTTGAAAAGTACAAAAAGTGAGATTGAGACACAAAATAAAAAAGTACAAGTTTCAAATTTTATTATATTTATTAATCAACAAAATATTATGATAAGTGATTAAAATTTGTCATTTGTTTTATCATAAAAGTGATATATAAGTCAAATTTCAAAATAATCTTCATGAAGACATCAAATACTGAGCATAAAATGTTTGTCTTTTGAAACATACTTGTTGCCAATTATCAATTCCTCCATGTTGTATTAATGCTCATAATATATATTTCTATCTTTGAACTAGACTATATATACAATAAATCATTTTGTTTACTTGTACGCAAACTCTTAAAATCTTATATATCATCTTGATAATAACTTTTTGACTTTAAGTTTTTGTTATCTCTAATTTATGTTGCATTTATCATATCAATAATAAAAGATTTGATGTGTGTAGTGATGTTATTTTGATATTTATGTGACAACAAATTGGTTTGTAAATAATTAAGTACATCTTAGTTGTAATCATTTAATATATTTAGATTCAATTATGTGTTTAGAAAAAAATTTCATAAATCATGTTTATATAGATAGATTATTAATTGAATATTTTTTTATATAAAAAAATTATTTTTTATATCTAATCTTTCAAGGTGAATTGCATAGTTAGAGATGTGAAATCAATGTAGAAAATCTTCCACATTTCTACAAGATTGGCTACTTTTAAAACCTATAGATCTATACTTAGACTCAATGTACATATCTTTATTTATACATTGGATTAATCATGGAATTATGATTAAATTATATATTGTCTATTAAAATTTCTTAGTCAATAAGCAGGGAAAAATTATATTTAAAATTCATAATTTTAGCCACGTGCCATATCACTATCAAGAAATAAATATGTAATTGTATATTGTAGTGATAAATGGCAGATTGATACAATTTTACCAATAATTTGAATGGATTTAAAATTGTGTGCACAACATAGAAACCGTTCAGAAGCCATATACAAGATAGAAAGTTAAAAACATCAAAAACTATTTTGTGACATAATCATTCAATCAGTTCAACTAGCTCGAAGCGATTTCGTCTTCTCTAGAATATATGCTTCCTTTGGTGTAAGCGATGTTTTCGAAGGTGATCCTATGGCATGATGCGTTTGAAATGTGGCAGGGAACAAATTGGCTTATGAAGGCGTGTTTGCAACAAATTTTACTCATCATGACGTTCCATCGCAGGATGATAAGGGGGTCTTTATAAAACCGGGGCTCAAATACCATCAAGATAATCTGCGTGCCAAGTTAGAACCATATTTAGACAAGGATAGTAATCCGAGTGGACGGATTGGGTCAAGTACCGCGACATTTCTTGTAAAGAGAACAAGTGTCATTTCCTGAAAACTTGATACTACTTACAGACAGACACGTGTGCTGTGCTTGATGACGGGCACCATGTTGACTCAAGGCGAAAGTCTGTCGGTGTCGTGCACAGCGCCGGCTCGAGGAATGGCTCTGCCCAGTAGGTCTTTGAAATTTGGTGGTGATGTGTCGTTGTTTTGATGCAGAAATGTTGCTCGCGGTGTGAAGCTGAAGTAGCGGGTAGTGCTTACCGTGGACTTTTTTCCATCGTTCGAGTATTGAGTCGGGTTTTTGAAGGCTTGTTTACATCGTTCGAGTATTAGGTCAGGTTTCTGAAGGCTTGTTTCCATTGTCCGTGGATGGGTTCGGGTTTCTAAAGGCTTGTTTCCATCGTTCAAAAATTGAGTAGTGTTTCTGAAACATACTAGTCAACGAGTTGTGTCGTGTGTCCCCTGTGCTTGTTTTCATCGTCCGAGGATGGGTTCGGGTTTCTGAAGGTTTGTTTCCATCGTTCGAGGATTGGGTCAAGTTTCTGAAACGAACAAGTCAGCTAGCTGTGTTGTGCGCCCCTTGTGCTTGTTTTCATCGTCCGACGATGGGTTCAGGTTTTTGAAGGCTTGTTTTCATTGTCCGAGGATAGGTTCGGGTGTTTGAAGTGTATTAGCCAATGAGCTGTGTCGGGTACCGCGGTTACACAATGGATACTCAAAATGTCATACCTCTCGCTTTAATATGTATGTTGATATCTCGTATTATTGTCAAAAGACAAATGGAGGAGGAGGAAACTA